CTCGCCATCGCGGCCGCTATGACTGACGTCTGAACGCGACGGTTATTTCGGTTAGGAATACGGATGTCGTTATTCCAGAGGAAGGGAAACTCGACCTTGAGGCCATCGGTGTAACATCGAAAGAGGCGCAAAACCCGCCGACGAGGGCGGGCCACCCTGTTCATCCTGATTATACTACAATCGTCTCTATATACATGCTGACTATAATAAGGTTAATATGCTGATTCAGTGAATCTTACGAGGTAATTGTATTACGCCCGCCGCTCCGACATCGACGATGATTGTGTAACGCTCTAGCCTGCCGGGAATACGTGGTGGAGGTTTTGTTTCCTCGGCGGGGGTTGGGGGGCGGAAGCCCCCCCCCCAGGGGGTCGCAGGGGCGCAGCCCCCTGCAATGGAAAGTTATGTGAATAACCATGGTTATTTTCACTGTGCGTTATATTATTAGTGCTATTTAACCCCGCATTTTCCCTGGAACCTTTCATGCCCTCCCCTGCTATTGGGGCCAAGTTTGTCGCTAACGGGGGGTTTCCGCCCATTAAAAGCCATATATTTGCAATGTGGAGAGTGAGAGGAATCCAACAATACCAAAATCGTCGATATCGAGTATGCGGAAGTAATATAGAAAATTACCTTATTTTTTTACCGATACATTTTTATTTATTATTTATTATTTTTTTTGTCGATGCGAAGGCGAACTTAACAGGGGGTGCTTTTGATGACAGTTTTGGTGATGATTAATTAAAGTACAACGATGGACGTATTCGTCTCAAAGAAAAACGGAGATTCGTTATTAAAAGATAAACCGTATTCATGTTGACAAATGTAGAAAAGATATGAATGAGAATGGAGATCTTCACAATACAAGAGATGTATTTGATCGGTTTCGATTATATATCGTCAGAAAGCATGTTATTTATCATGTTTTCTGACGAAGAAATAATCGAAACCGATTAAAAACATCTCTTGTATTGTCAAGATATCCATTCTCATTCAATACCTTTTCTAGCTTCGTTTTTGTTTTTTTTTGCTATTTTACTTTTAGACTGCTTGGGTGCTTTTTAATTTTGACAAAAAAACAAAAAAAAAAACCTGCGACCTTTTCTTCGCCTTTCTCTAATAATCTGAATACGAAATACAAGGGAACTCGAAGTCCTCACGTGAAATTCAGAATGTCTCTCAGGGCGTCCCACAGCTCGCCGTAGATGCCTGAGATCTTGACGCGCCGTCGGGGTGTCCTGCAGGTAGGTGTGAGGAGCGCCCTGGGGAAGGAACATGTGCTTACGGCTGTCTTTCTCTCTCTCTCTGTCTGTCTGTCTGTCTGTCTCTTCTCTCTCTCTCCTCTCTCTCTCTCTCTCTCTCTCTCTCTCTCTCTCTCTCTCTCTCTCTATATATATATATATAATATATATATATATATATATATATATACATCCATACACACACACACACACACACACACACACACACACACACACACACACACATATATATATATATATATATATATATATATATATATCAATAATTTATTCATATACGAAAAGGTTCGCAAGCAGGATAATGTGTGGAATTTGCGAATAATGTCAACTGTCTATGATCAAGAAAATTAAGGAATAAATATATACACAAATTGTTTTAGAATAAAGCATTATGAAATCGAATACTTAAATGTTGCCCTGATACTTACCGGCAGGGCGGTGCACCTGACCACGAGCCCCGTGAGGTTGGTCCTCCTCGCCCACGGCTCCCGCGGGAAGCCCAAAGCGACGCCGCCGCCCCCGTCGCCTTCCTCCTCCCGCCCCGGCAGACCGGCTGCGGACGTCGCGTTCCCTGGGCAGTCGGGGCAAAGGAGGTCACGGAGGAGCCAGCGACTCACAACAGACGCTCGCTGCGGCAGGTGAGGCGCCGGCTGGTACACGTCCCAGAAGGCGACCTCCGCGCCCGGACGCAGGCTGGAGACCTCGGCCACGACAGCCTGAAAGCAACGTTTTCGATAGAATCAGTGAACCCGAACGCATTCATCCATCTATCTGTCTATCTACACATACCTACCTACAATTGTATATGCATATTGTCATATGTACAGTTCCTGCACTTTTACCCCTTTCGTTGGATAACAGAAGCGGCAACTCTGTGTTTGTTTACATTCTCGTACTACTGGTCTACAGAGTGAATGAATTGAACCTCATTATGATTATTTGTTCACCATGCACAGAATTTCAGCTTTGTTCATGAATGCTCTTACAATGCCTATGATGTGGATAACAAACCGTGTAAAATATAAAATCTGAATACACCAACATTGTTTATAAAGAAAGTAATGAATAGGGGCAGGTTGTGAGTTGTAATTGTAGTTAGGGGAGGTGAGAACAGGTGTATGAAATTCCAGTGAATGTTCATGATATATTAAGAAATGTTCAGAGAAATAGATTTGTACTATATAGATATTTTGCTTTCACACAGGAGCTGTATGGAGCACACACAATAACGCTCTTCCACACACACCGGTAACAAACAAACAAAAGAATGTTCGTCTATTTAGTTTTAGCGAAAAAAAAATCGTTTGTAAAGGATGAAAACTCATTAGCTCGAAGGTACGTGCATCTGGACAAGCAAAGGACATGTAAGGTCAATATGTTTTCTAGGCAAAAATGTTCATGTTCGTTCCTGAATGCTTTTTGTTGGCCTAGACTATTTTCAAATAAAATAGAAAATTAATTGAGTCGAGGAGCACACACGCACAAATTCATAATTAAGTGATGTCTCCCGCTATTACTGCGACAGACTGATACCATTCGTAATTGGTATGCCATCAATGTTTCAGGCATTGCGTTGGGGTCTTGCGCAATATCCACCATTCTGTACTTTTTTATATACACGTCCATTTGTATCTATCTACACACACACACACATGTAATTATTGTAAAAAAGGGATCATTGTTAAACAAAAAAAAAAAAGCACACACACGCTCGCACACACAAGCAAATGGGGACATAATCAGAATATATTCGGGTAATTATCAGCCAAACTAAATGAGTAATAATTCTGTTTTAAAGGTATTACATTCCACCGCTTTGGAAAACCCTTCCACCACCACCCACCATGTTGTCAAGAGGGAACCCGACGTAACCGAGTCTGGGCCAACAAGGGGCAAGGCACAGGAACAACCAGTGAAGGGACTGGAAACGTTTCTCATTCAGTACCTGGCAGAAAATACATATACACACATATTTACAAGCATATATGTATACAGTTACACATAATTACAAATACATATATACAGTTACACATAATATACATATTATAGTTACACATAATTACAAATACATATATATATATATATATATATATATATATATATATAATATATATATATATATATATATATTATATAGCATATTTACAAATACATATATACAGTTACATATATTTACATGCATATATATATTTACATATTTACAAATACATATATACAGTTACACATATTTACAAGCATATATATACAGTTACACATATTTACAAGCATATATATACAGTAACACATATTTACAAGCATATACATCACGTCAGATCCTGAAGGTAGACACAATGGACGTCAGATACGTACAACAACCGTACTATTCTGAGATGCTTCACGATATACCTCACCTAACGGCACACCGAACTCACGGACCCTACCGCGCTCAGAATCTGGAAGTCGCTGTCGGTAAACAGGCGGGCAAAAATGACAATGACATTCTCGCTGTGACTCTCCCCACTCGGCTGGAGTTGTCGGTCGACCACCTGGGATACGTCGGCCAGGGAACTGAGAGCGACGTAAGCCTCCTTCTGCGCCCGAAGGAAGTGGCGGTAGCCGAAGGACCACCATTGTTCCCACGGGACGCTGGTGCTCACTGCGAAGGAGGAGGAATAGGGTTTGACGGACGGCTAGAATGAACGTAATCGACGAGGATTCGAACGTGAACATCGACGAGGATTGAACGATTGAACCGACGAGGATTCGAACGTCATTGAACGTAATCGACGAGGATTCGAACGTCATTGAACGTAATCGACGAGGATTCGAACGTAATTGAACGTAATCGACGAGGATCGAACGATTGAACGTAATCGACGAGGATTCGAACGTTTGAACGTAATCGACGAGGATTCGAACGTCATTGAACGTAATCGACGAGGATTGTCATTGAACGTCGAGGATTCGAACGTAATTGAACGTAATCGATGAGGATTCGAACGTAATTGAACGTAATCGACGAGGATTCGAACTTGAACGATCGACGAATTCGAACGTAATTGAACGTAATCGACGAGGATTCGAACGTAATTGAAAGTAATCGACGAGGATTCGAACGTCATTGAACGTAATCGACGAGGATTTAGAACGTAATTGAACGTAATCGACGAGGATTCAATTCAGTCATTAAGTTACTATATTTCCCGTATAATCAGAAAATAAGAAATATTATCTATATGCTTATATAAGATTATTAAGAAATATTTACAAGCAGAATAACGCCTTTTACTTTGGCAGTAAATATAGGGAAAAGGTGAACTCAGGAGCGAAAGACGCCCTTTGAGAGAAATGTCGAAAAAAAACCTTTTTCGCTTTTTATTGGTAATCATGAGGATTTTAACATTAATTCAATCCTTGAATTGTCAATTTTCAAAAAAAAAAAAAAAAAAAAAAAAAAAGAAGAAGCGAGAATTTGAAGGGTCGTGGAAATGCATTTATTACTTACAGAGTGCTTACATAACCGTACAATGCATCAAAAACACAACACAGGACAATGTTTCACTGTTCATGGCAAAGTATTCGTAGAAATCAGAGGAAAGGAGAGATAAAGAAAAAAGGTATAAAGAAAAAAGAGAGAAAGAACAGAGAGATAAAGAGAAAAGAAAAGAGAGATAAAGAAAAGAGAGATAAAGAAAAAGAGACAAGAGAGATAAAGACAAGAGAGATAAAGAGAGAGATAAGCAAGAGAGATAAAGAAAAGAGAGAAAGAAAAAGATAAAGAAAAGAAGAAAGAGAAAGGAGATAAAGACAAGAGAGATAAAGACAAGAGAGATAAAGACAAGAGAGATAAAGACAAGAGAGATAAAGACAAGAAAGATAAAGAAAAGAGAGATAAAGAAAAGAAATAAAGAAAAGAAGATAAAGAAAAAGAGAAAAGAAAAGAGAGATAAAGAAATGAGAAATAAAGAAAGAGAAGAAGGATACAAGATGGGTCAAGAGGAAAAAATAGTCGGTGCCGAGGGATAGATGTTACAAGTTTGTGACTATGCTGTCATTAACATTATAATAATGATGATGATTATTATTACTTTTATCATTATTATTATCTTTGTTGTTGTTGTAATTATTATTATTATTATTGTTAATGTAATTATATCATTATTATTATCATTGTTGTTGTTGTAATTATTATTATTATTATTATTAATCTTAATTACTATTAACATTATCAATACTATCATTATTACTATTAACATAATTATTGCCAATTGCTATCATTATCATAATTCTTCTTCTTTTATTTTTCCTATTATTATATTCATCAAAAGTAAACAGTTATATATTACTTTATATAGTTATTAGAGAGAGAGAGAGGCTGAGAAAGATAGATAGATAGATGGATAGATAGAGAGATAGATAGATGGATAGATGGATAGATAGAGATAAATAGATAAATAGATGGATAATCTGATAAACAAATTTAGATATACTGAGATCGATAGAGTGATAGAGAGAGATAACGAACCACCAAATCATTTTATTTTTGATGATGATAATGGTAATAGTAATAATAGTAATAATAATATTAGTAAGAGTAAAAAAGATTTAGCGATAGTTTTGCAGAGAGAGAGAGAGAGAGCATAATTAAGTAACGGACATCACAATAAATCACGGAATGGTTACTTTTCCGTTTCTTATAATAATAACAATAATAATTTTGAAAACAATACAGATAATAAAGTAACAATACAGACAATAAAACAACAACACTCTTTGTCACCTATTCTTTGCCACTAGACTCCTCCTATCTTTTCATGTCACTTCATTTCATGCTCAATGTTCCCCTTGTCCTTTCTCCATTACTCACGTCTCTTGTACTTTAGACATGACGAATACTGCACCATCTCTCGGCGACGTACGTAAGAATATGATATATGGCGAATGTACGCGGACTTTGGCTCACTTGTGTACAGTCTATTCCGACCACGGTTTTCGAGCAGTTCGAACCGGGGAAAGTGTTTCAGATTCAAGGATCGAATCTCGCGGTTCAAACCTTGGGAGTTCCGAGTGTTGAAGCTTTAAACTGGATGGGAATGTATTTCTAATGAGATTATCATTTATAAGAGGGGGAAAGGGGGTGTATATTATAAATATTGTCCTCTGTGGAGTCAGTATGAAGTGTTGAATACCTTGCTGATAGCTTATGTAAATAGTTTACAAAGATAATGCTTCGACCAGATCCCTTTTGATTTTGTTTTTATATGAAGATAAGGTGAATGCAGAGATTACAAAAATATCGTAATATATTTATCCTTATTGCGCCAACATAAATTGATCATAAAATTACCAAGTAGCAAAGGTAATCCCCGAATTTGGAGATCGCTTTATATTCACACTAATAGGCTCAGATTTTCGAATTGAAATGTGCGAATACTCGGGTACGATAAACAGAGTGAAACTAATCCGTTCGCAAAATACACAGAATAGAGAATAATAAATAAGAAAGAAAGAAAGAAAGAAATATATATATGTATGCATATACATAATATAAACAAATAAATAGATAAATAGAATGAACATAGGACATCACTCTCACCGTTGCTGTCACGCAAGAAGTGCACGCTGTTAAAACCCTGCAGTTGCACGTAGTTATTCAAGAAGGTTGCCAGATCCCATCCTTCTGCAGGAGAATCGATTCCTTTCCCCCTGGCCTGGCTAGACGTCCTTGAGGCAGCCGACGCACCCAAGACTAAGAGTATCCACACAGGCTTTAGATCCATGAGTGTGTGTCTAGTGTGGGGTTGGCAGACACTGTCAGGATCACCAGAGAGTTGCGTGCGGAAACAGCCGGCGTCTGCGCGCTGAGCAGTCGCCGAGGCTATTGGGAGAAATGACTTGGGATTTATTATGCATTAGTTTGCATTGCCGCCCTTAGTCCATACACGGAGTAGATAAATAAATATCTGTGTATTGTTTTTTTTTCCTCTCTCTCTCACACACACGTATTTTTCTCTCTCTCACACACGTGTATTTTTCTCTCTCTCACACAGACACACAGACACACACACACACACACACACACACACACACACACACACACACACACGCACGCAGATAGACCAGGAAGTCAGTAGACGGATTGGTCTGGCAGCAGGAGCCACGAACTCAGCCAACAAGAGTATTTGGAGGTGCCGGTACCGAAGCAGAGGGACTTTTCTCGGCGCGAAGGACCCCGAGGCGAGGCGATCAGCTGGCGATG